ATCTGTGAACCAAATTTAGTAATGTTTTTATTGTCACAAATTTTTTATGACTATTCAATTCTCTGCCATTTCAATTTGCTTTACTTTATATAAGACATTAGAAACACGTGTTCATGGTAAGCTCAGTTCATTTGAATGTAACTAGCAGCTCATATAGTATTTTAGAAACGCAATGTATGCACAAAATACTGCTTCTCCTACGTTTATGTGCCAACTGTGAATTCTATTTTACAAATCAATGTTATGCCAATATTTTTTAAAAGTAAAAACTCATGGTAGTAAATTGTTCATTTTATTTTGCAGAGTGATTTCTCATTTTCATCCCATATACATGTAGAAGTAGAATAGAAAAAAAATGTTTGCAGCAAATACCTCATTACAAACCTCAGCTAGGCCATCTTTGATTGTCTATGATATAGCTTTAAGTGAGACATTGCAATAGATGTACAATCTTGGACAAAATGATAGGTATAAATTATAGAATTGTGCTCCAACACCAGACTGAATCATCAAACATTTGGACGTGTCACTTCACTTCCGGTAGTGCACGGCAACTACTTCCGATTTCGTCAAACCTTACACCCATACTCCTGCACCATTGTGCTGCACCCGGATGGGCCTTCTAGTGTGCACACACCCACCCAAAGGTTAAATTTAGGCTGATGTGAGGTTGGGTGGGTGTGTGCACCCTCGAAGGCCCCTCTGGGTACAGCAAGATGGTGCAGGAGAATGGGTGTAAGGTTTGACAAAACCGAAAGTAGTCGCCGTGACGCGTCCAAGTGAGATTGTATATAAGGCTTTTCAGCGCCAAATTGTGTGTTTGTATCTGTTTATCTATGGGCAACTGTGTGTCTGTGTATCTGCATGTGTCTACCTTTCTGTTTGTTTGTATCTGAATGTGTGATTGTATCTGTGTATTTGTGACAGTGTTTGTGTCTGTGTAGCTGCATGTGTGTCAGTGTGTCTGTACCTGTGTGTCGATGTGTCTGCATGTGTGTACCTATGTGTCTGTGTATATGTATGTGTGATTATGTATCTGTGTGTCAGTTTGTGTGTCTGTGTATCTGTTTGTCAGTGTGCATCTGTATGTCTATATATCTGCAAGTGTATCAGTGTGTGTGTGTGTGTGTGCATACATCTCAGCATCTTGCCATCACTACACACAAGTACACCCATGTATTCAAACCTCAACACTACATACAAACACACTCCTACATTCACTCACATACTCCATACAAAAACTTGCATACATTCAAACACACAAGCACTGCTAAATACATTAAAAACATTTTGTGTTTTTTTTTAACTTTACATTTTATGGTAGGTTGGGGGAAGGTGGTGAGATGCAAACGTAGGATCTGCCCCAGGTGCCAAATGCTCTAGGTACACCCCTGGTGGCATAAACTGACTATTTTGTAACTTTATATGGGAGAGTTATCAAGGTAAAACCAGGTGCTATTCTGGGGGAAAAATAAGTAATAAGAAATTTCCAAGGAACCAACAGAATGTATCTCAACATTTAGTATTTTGTGTGTAACATAGCACCAGTTTAACCCTGATAAATCTCCCCTATTGTTTGTACTTGAAATTGTGCTACTACGGTACTTTACCAGAATATGTGATATAAGGTGTTTCTCCATACCTATAGTGGTCTTCTCTTTAACCAAATATTTGTGAGTAAGAAAAAGAAAACTCCAGAAGCATAACCAGCAATATAATGTTATATCATCACATTATCCACCATGATTACACTACAATACTTTTGACAACATAAAAATGATTTAATGGAATATATAATTATAATTTGAAAGAGGTTATTTCCTTATGTAGACCTCACTATGGATCAATCTTACTACCCTAGAATAAGAACAAACATGCAGATCATTGTATTCTTAATGCTGATTAACGATGCCATGTATTTATTGTATTGTGGTTTTCTTTAAAAGAAAAATCAGTAATTTAGAAGCAGAGACAGACTAAAAAGAAAAACACAAGTTGGACCATTTACATCATCACTCTATGATTGATAATAACAGTTCTTGGATACAGGAAATTTCCATGCACATTTCAGGATATATTCCTGCTGACAGTACGTTTACTAAGGTAAAGGAAGTAAGCACATTGAGTTAGACGATCAAGCAAAATACAAATGCAAAAAAATCACGTGCTGAACAGGATGTCTATTCTCCCATCAGTAATGAATGAATGGTGTGTAGGATCTAAAATATTTAAATGATGCTGTTGTTTGCCTTGATGAAACTGAAGAACTGGTTTCTCATTAATACAAATTAAACCAGCATTAAATCTTCCTTTTAGTTATCACACTATATGTCCTTAAGTCTGTAACACCATATGCCCTTAAGTCTGTCTGTCTATCTATTGAATATAGTAGTTATGGTGCCAGGCGTTTCCTGATGCCTCCTCTCCCCCATGGTAAGTAGTCACACCATGTAAGACTTCTTACCTGGTTTCCACCAGTTGCTGCTCCCAGCCTTCACTACTTCAGACTAATAACCATAAGCTCTCTGTCTGATCTTAGCTCAATGGTTGATGCTCTCACCTGGTGAGCTAGCCTTGCATTGCAGGGTTTAGTTAGAGAAAGGGGAGATCTTACTTAGGACCTTCTGGTTCTCTGTTGCCACATGTGAAGAGGGGGAGCAGAGACCAGCGGACTCCAGCTAAAAAAATCAAACTGTTCTAAACAATTTTTACTACTTACAATGGGATGGGGGTCACCAGAGCACTCCTGGCACCATAGCCATTATAGAGCACTGCGGTACTCATGGTGCTTGGAGTGTTAAGTCAAAACGAAGATCAATTTTGTACATTTTGCCTACTGAGCCAATATTTTACCAGAGGCTCGGTGGAAAAGAAAATGAGTTAATAATCATGAAAGACGTATATGTAGCAGTTGTGAGTGTGCAGTTATATTCATTAAAAGCATGTTAACAATGGATCTCCATTTAAAATCTACTTTTCTTTTCTGCATTCACGCAGCCCTAATTTTAAAGTTGATGGTTAATTGTTAAGCTCAAATCCTCCAGTCTTCATCTCTGCAAGTGAAATACCTCAGATGCAGCTGACCACAGTCCACTAATTAAGTAAAACTTGAAAAAGATAGCACAGAGCTGTTAATATTTCTCAACACAGATAAATTGCTTATAATCAAAGCAAAGGTCGGGCCAGTTACTCCTCTTTCATTTTTGAAGGACTTCAGAAGACAGACAGTACATCTTGTACAGGTTGCAAAGCACAAAAACAAGAATAAAAATACACTCACCTTAACCTAACTGGGAGATAGAACATTCTTCTGGGGGGAAAAAACACATAAATTAAAAGTGTTGATCAGTGTTCAGCTTGCTAGATTTCATTCTGTCCATTTGACAGGTGCGGTTGCTGTAACCTTTCAAATTATCTGGGAAAAATGCCAAAAGTCCTTGAAATTTCAGCAAAGTTTTCATTTTATTTAAGAAGAACATTTTTTACAGGATATTCCATAGTTGTAATATTTACTGTATTCAGGAAAAGTGATAATCCTATATCATTTTGTTTTAGTAAATAAACCGTAATAACTGCTTTAACCCCTTAAGGACAGAGCTTCAGAAGCTTGTCTTGCACTTAATGACAACAGCATTTTTTGCATTTTTTTCGTTGTTTGCGTTCAACTGCAATTTGCATTTTACTAATTTATTGCACCGACACATAATACATACCCTTTTTTTAAAGGACAGAAAGGGCTTTAATTGGATGTAACATACATATATGTTTACTTATTATAAAAAATACAGAAAAAAAAAAAAAAAAATTGTGTTTTTACAGTTTTTTGCAATAATAATGTGTGCTTAATTAGTGCAGGTTAAGGAAAGTAATTAAAAATAAATTAAGTTGTTCTGATTTACAGAATATATAATGTGTTTAGGATTTTAAGGATTTTTTGGTAGTTACAGGTCACAAAGCACAAGGAGTAAAATAAACTTTTAATGTTGAGCTATTTTAGAAGTTGGTATGTTTGTCTTGTAAGCTTAATAGCCATAAAAGAAAACAAAATTGCCACACAAAAGTATATATTTATATAAAGTAGACATCACAGGCTATTTACCTAAGGTTATTTTGACACTTTCTACGTAGCCATTTCATCAACAATCTCTGCTAAATATTGGAGTAAAATTGTGTTTTGTTTTGTTTTTTGTTTTTTTTTCAAAAAAGGCTTTATTCAAACATAAGCATTTCAGGGTATGCCCCGATCCCTGTACATTAGCAGGTATCTATAGATTGAACAAGTAAATAACATATAACGGACTCGCAGGTCCCAACATTAAGTGTGTGAACCGCACTCAAACAATGTTACATATTATTTCTACATGGCATTTGGTCGCGTTTAACACGTTAAGACATACATATGAGTGATCGGATTGCGGCTTGAGTAGAGGGATATTCATAAGTTTGTGCCTTGCGTCTGTTTTATGTGATCCTCTAATATTTCCCTATCACCCTTGAGCCACATTCTCTTTGGGGTGGTAAGGTCTATTGGTCCGTCGTCGTAGGTCAGATGTCGTTCAGGGATGTGTCTTATTCGTGTTGTGTAATCGCGTGATGAAGGTGTTTGTTTCCATTTTGATGTGCAAGCGTGAGTGAATGGCACAATTGTGGGCAATCTCGGATTAAGGTGGGCTACGTTTATCATGTAATTTATAATGAAACCATTGTTGGAGAGTTTTAGAGAGAAGATGAGTGTTAATTGAGTAAGAAGTAAGAGAAAGAGAGAGGGGGGATGTGGAGGGGAGAGCTGGGTGGAGGGTGGTTTGGCAGGGGGGGGTAGGGGGGTATGAAGGAGAAGGTGGTCCCGTCATCCGTGACCACGGCGTAGTATGTATCGAACCAGGCATCAGTCCCCGTCTGTGGGAGGTCCTGGGGCTCGTTGGGCTGCGAATGACCGTTCCTATCTATGTTTCGGTCTGCTATGTAGAGTAGCCACGGGCGCCACCTCTCCACATGCTTGTCCTCTAGTCCTCGAAGTGTAGCTTGTATTGATTCCGCTCTATAGATTTCTTCCACCCGCTCCATCCATTGTCTTATTGTCGGGGTATTCGTTTGTTTCCAGTATAGTGGAATTAGTGCCTTGGCTGCGTTGATTAGGTGTCTACGAATGTTTTTCCTGTATGTGCCTATGGGATCCGGTGTTGAGTGTAGGAGGACTGCCTCTGCGTTGAGGTTTCCTTCCGTCCCTGTGATATCCCCTATTTTCTGTAGGACTTCGACCCAGTATGGCTTAATGAGTGAGCATTCCCACCATATGTGTAGTGGCGAGCCACGCTCATCTCCGCATCTCCAGCATATGTCAGGCACATTCGGGAAGATCCTGTGCAGACTGTCGGGCGTTCTGTACCAGAATGAGAGAAGTTTATAGTTGGTTTCTTGATAGTGGGAGCTCGATGAGCATTTATGGTGTAATATGAGGATCTTATCCCATTGGGCTGTGGTGAATGATGTATTTAGCATGCGTTCCCAGCGTCTGCGGAATTGGTCGTTGTTAGTGAGGTGCCCCACGAGCATGTGTTGGTATAGCAGGGATATCGCTTTACCTAGAGTAGTCTTGTGATCGCAGAGCGTTTCGAACCATGTCAAGTCCCTGTGTAACTTTTCCTTGTCTGGAAGTGTCCGGTAGTATGTTCTGAGTTGTATATAACGGAAGGTCTGTAGGCTAGTGGGTTGGTCGCCTTCTATTAGGTCCCTCAGGGGGATCATATCTGCGTTAGTTAACACTTTATGTATGGGGTACGATTCCTCCTCTCCCAGGAAGGACCATGCTGTCCGTGGTAGCCCTCCCCCTATCTGGGGGTTGTATTGTATCTGGGTCATCGGGCTCGGTGTTGGAGAGATGTGAGGAGCCTTTCTGATATAGTTCCATGCTTTCAGTGTCTGCGCCACGGTAGATGATGGTTCCAAACTCGTCCGCGGCATCTTATTCGTATTCCACACTGATGTCAGAAAGGAGGGGCCTATATGTTGTTTGTCCAATGCAATCCATTGTTTATGTTCCGGTTGAGTATGCCATTCCAGGACGCGTTGTAGTACTGTCGCGTGGTGGTATTTGCGGAGGTCAGGGAGTGCCAATCCCCCCCATGCTCGAGGTAAGCAGAGAACTTCCTGTCAGAGTCTTGCTTGTTTCCCACTCCAGATGAACTTCACCATCGCGGAACGTAGTGATGCGAAATATGCCGTCGGTAGAGCTTGCGGTATCGTCTGATATAAATATAACAGCCGTGGTAGAATATTCATCTTAAGTATTGCGATCCGGCCGAACCATGAGATGTGTGGATAAGTCCACGTTTTCAAATCTTGTTGGATTCGTTGTAGTAGTGGTAGGAAGTTCGTTCGATACATGTCACCTAGGTCTCTGGTTATTGCGATACCTAGATACCGCATGTGGTTTGCGCACCATCTAAACGGAAATTGGTTCTTCAGTGCGGATGTTTGGGCCGTTGGAGTGGTAATGTTAAGTACTTCACATTTATTCATGTTCAATTTGAATCCTGAGACCTCCCCGTAGTCCGTGATCATAGTGACTAAGTGGGGCATTGTTGCCTCCGGTTCCGTGATAAAAAATAAGAGGTCATCCGCGTATGCTGCTACTTTGTGTGTTGTATCCCCGCTTTTGAAGCCCTGGATCCCTGTCTTGTCCCATTGTGGATCTGGAAGGAATCGGTAAGCGCTCCGTTCACTCTCACCTTCGCATTGGGGCAATGGTAGATCGCATCTATCCATTTCATCATGTTCTCTCCGAAGCCCATTTCCCATAGCGTGGTTACAAGGAATGTCCAATCAACCCGGTTGAATGCTTTTTCCGCATCCGTTGACAGTAATAGGAGCTTATCTGTTGATTTCCTTGCCAGGTGATGGATGGATTGCACTCTAAGAGTGCTGTCTCTAGCTTCTCTCCCTGGGATGAACCCCGTCTGGTCTGGATGGACCAATCTCGGAAGCATTTTCCCTATTCTGGTGGATAGTATTTTAGTGAGGAGCTTCACGTCCACATTTAGCAGTGATATTGGTCTATAGCTGCTGCAGAGTTCGGGATCCTTCCCAGGTTTCGGGAGAACCGTTATAGTTGCCGCTAGTGATTCGGGTCCGAATCGGGCGCCATCTATCAAAGCGTTGAATGCGTTAGTGAGTCTCGGGAGCAGTATGGTTCGGAACTTTTTATAATAGTCCAAGGTGAAGCCATCAGGGCCTTGGGCCCGTCCCGTTTTGGCGGTCTTGAGTGCCCCTGCCACTTCAGCCTCCGTGATCGGTATATCCAGTAACTCCGGTTCCCCTTGCTGCAACCTCGTCTTCACGTGTGATTCGATGTAACTCCTTATTCTATCCCGTCTGAGTGTTACCTCCTCCGGGAGTGTGGGTCCCGGGATGTTGTATAACGAGGCGTAAAATGTGCGAAACTCGGATGCTATTTTATCCGGGAATTGTGTGATCGTGCCGTCTGATGTCCGCAGCTTATGTACCTGGGTCATGCCCTGGGGGCCTCTAAGCATTCTGGCCAGCAGCCGCCCTCCTTTGTTGGCGTGTTGGTAGAAGAAGGCCTTCGATCGTTGTATGGAGCTATAGTGTTGATTCGTCATGTGGGTATGTAGAGATCTTCGGGCTTCCAATAATTCTTTATATGTCCCCTCGAGGTGGGAACATTTGCATTTCCAGCGTAGTTATGCGCGTTAGTAGGTCCGTCATATGTTTCCGAGATTCTCTCTTCTTCTGAGAAGCCAAGCGCATCAGTGTACCTCTGAGCACACTTTTGTGCGCTTCCCATTTCGTGGTCGCGGGGAGATCATCTGTCTCATTCAGTGCGAAATAGGAAGCGAGTTCCTCGGAAACCGTTTCCTTCACTGACGGGTCCAAGATTAATGTGTCCTGGAGTCGCCATGACCTAGCGGTTGGGCGTACCCTGGGGGAGTCCATTTGCAGGGTCACAGGACCATGATCCGACCAGCTTGCTGATCCAATTTCTGCTTTTTGGATAGCGTCGAGGTGTTCCTGTTGAAGGAAGATATAGTCAATGCTCGCGTATCGCTTATGTATCACTGAGTAGTGGGTGTATTCCCTGTCTGCCGGGTGCATTGCTCGCCAGCAGTCCACCAGCCTAAGGTTCTTAAGCGTTTTCTGTATGCTTCGGAGGGCTCCTTGGGTGATGCTACTGTGTCCCGTGGATGAATCTATGAGAGGGATGAGGGGAACATTGAGATCTCCTCCAACGATTAATGTGCCCTCTGTGAATGAGGAGAGGTTGGTGAGAGATTTACGTATGAAGTGTGATTGGTTGTTATTGGGTGCATATATCGTCGCGAGGGTGTACCTACGGTTTTGTATGTCTCCCTTAAGGAACAGGTATCTGCCGTTAGGATCAGCCAGTCGTTCCACTTCCTGGAACTGTAGTTGAGCATGGGTGAGAACTGCTACACCTGCCTTACGTGCAGTCGGGTGGTTGCTGAGAGCCGCAGTGGGGTAGTGTTTGCTCTTCAACGGCGGAGCATGTCCTTCCTTAAAGTGTGTTTCCTGTAGGAAAGCAATCGATACGCGCTTAGAGGTAAGCTCTCGAAGAAGGTGCGATCTGCGCTCCGGGATATTTAGGCCCCTGCAGTTCATGGTTGTGATGCGTAGAGGGTCGGGTTCGTATGCCATTTGCGATGGGTGGGGGTGGTTCGCTATGTCCTTTAACAATTTGTTTACTCTTCTAATCGGTGCCTGTTGTCGGGTGTTGCCCGTCTCTTTCGGGAAATGCCGTGGGCACAGAGATGACAGGGGGGGGGTGTGACGGTAGTGGAGAGGTTGGGGTGGGGGGGTTGGATCAGAGTCGTATGGGGGGGATGAGGTAGGGGATAGAGAGGGGTTTGAGAAAGGATGTAGAGAGTCCCCTAGGCGGAGGTATGAAGGTAGAGGTAGGTTTACTGTCCCCAGGGGGGGACAGTACGGCACCTAGAGCTAGGTGTCAGAAATCCCTCCTGTGAGGGTTGGTTCGCGTGACCACGGTAGCAGTCAGTAGTCGGGTCTGTCAGAGAATATCTAACGACCTCCAACTATCGACTCTCCGTGGTTCGAATTTGTTCACGCGAACTTGGCGGGGGTTAGTGGTCAAGTCCTCGTGTTCTCACCACGTTACGATGTGTCTACTATTTGTCTTTACAGGTATATAAGTCCGAGATTACCCAGTGGGTGTGCCACCAGTATGGGAGCATTTGAGTGTCGTTAGCTCATGTCAGTGTGAGTAATGGGCCTAGTCTAGTGTCATCAGCAGTTATCAATATTGTCGTTATTTGTATCCTAGGCTAACGTAGTGCTATCGAGTGATGGAGTGTTTTTAGGCGGTACGGTCGGTGCCAGGTTCAAGATCTATATCATGCCGGGGCGAATTCCTGAGTCGGGAGTATGAGTAGGGCGGTGTCCTGGTGTGTGGTGACTGTCACGTGGTTCGCAGGACGTTTGGCTTGCTCTGGGGGGAAGTGGGGTCATCACCCTCTATTTCAATGGGAGAGCTGTCATGGTCAATGTCGTGGTGAACAATTCAAAATGTGCATCATATCTTACAGTACATTCCTTCCCTACCCAAATCACAAAGTGAAATATATACAGTAGGTGCAGTGTTGGAACCCCTTCGTGTACCTCCTAGCTCCTATTCTCCTCTTGCGGCACCCTCGTCTCATGTTAGCGTACCTGTGTGTGACCATATCTAGGCCTGAAGGGAACGGGGTGATATCGCACATATCGGTCCCTACCTAGATCTTCTGTATTCATGGGCTATCTGCATCAGGTGCCGTATGCTAAGGGATTCTAAATTCCACCCTCCCACTCTCCCGTATCCTCCCCCACTCTACCAATTTGAAACTGTTGGCCCAGGTTCTCAACAATCTGTGTCTCGCTGACTCTAAACTACCCCCCATGTAGCCCAATACAGTCCCACAAGTCCCTCCCTCCTGTCTGTTCCCCACATAGGCCCGCAACATGCGGCCAGCCCAGCGTTCAACATTCCCCCCTGAACCTGTTGGTATGAGTCCTCCTGAGTGCCGTGTCTCTGCCAGCGCGGGTATCCTTTTCCGGATCATAGTCTTTTGTCGGTTCCTTGTAGGTGCGGTGGCAAGTCTAGCCAGGGGATCCGGCTCGTGATTCTTCAGCTTCCCTGGGTTCCCCATGCGGCTATCACAAGCCTTCCCCCCTCCCAAGAGTGTCTTGTGGTAATGCCATCCCTGTGGGCCATAGGCTATGGAAAGGTGGGTATAGGGTGGGGAATAGCTTGGCCAGTGAGGCCTAGTAGAACTGGTACCAACAGTTCCAACTCCTGTGGTCAAGAGCGTGTTATGTCCCTCCTAGTCCCCATCCATATTGTGTAGGTCGCTGGGTGTGTGCACACCACAGGCATCTCGCGGAGTTGGCTCCTTGGGTCAGTGGGTTGTGGGCAATGAGTTCTGTCTGCAGGGCGCCGTTTGCGTCGACATCGTTTCAGGTAACCAGTTCTCAGGTGTCACAGAGAGCTGAACCCGGTGCCACCAGTGCTTGGTTATTCCTCTGGGTTGGACGGGTGTGAAGGTGTTTCGCGTATGCGGTTTTCCCTTGGGCCCCTCCGTGAGTTCCTTGGCTGTCTTTGTGGTCTGGGTTCTCGGTCCAGTGGTTCCAGGATCCAGTCTGGGATTGCTATGGGCGGGAGGTCCAGCCGTTGGAGAAAGCGTGGTATTTCGTCTGGCCAGCGCGCAGCGACCCATTCGTTCTGATGTCTCACTTGGATGCTAAATGGGAAGCCCCATTTGTATGGGATATTGCGTTCCCTCAGTGCTGTAGTGATAGGTCTGAGAGCGCGTCTAGCCTCTAACGTGGTAGGAGAAAGGTCATTATAGAGGGAGACCTCTGCTTCTTGATAACGCCACGTGGGTCTAGCCCTAGCCCGTTGCATTATGCGATCTTTAAGGGGGAATAAGTGTAAGCAGCATATAATGTCTCTGGGGTCCCCATCTCTGATTCTGGGTCTCAGCGCCCTATGTGCACGCTCAAAGCGTATATTTGGTGGTGCGTCAGGTCCCAGGATTTGGAGGAAGAGCGCGGTGAGTAGCTCTTCTACATTCTCCTGCCCCTCACCCTCTGGTACCCCTCTTACCCGGATGTTTGAGCGGCGGCTCCGGTTGTCTAGGTCCTCTATTTGTCTGCGCTGGGCCAGCAGCATGTTGCCCTGCCTTGTCAAGGCTGTGTCAGCAGCAGTTGCACGGCGTTGTGATTCTAGGGCCTGTGTTTCCAGCATTTGGATGCGTCCATCTTGTGCCTCCATATCTGTTCGCAGTGCTGAGACTGCTGACGTGAGGGAGGTCGTGAGGGTCGCTGCCAGGGACTGCAGGTCGGCTTTGGTGACCATATTGGCCGCCAATCGTCTGATCTCGGCTCCTATATCAGCCAGAGTAGGCTGGTCGGGTTCCGAGCAGGAGGAGGCTGGGGAGACGGGTGCCATCTTGGAGCCGTGTGCCTCGCGGCTCGGTCCCAGCGGGGTTTGCATCGGTCCTGACGGCGGTGCCGGTGGAGCTGCCCTAGGGGTATGCTGGGTCTCTTGCCGTTTTGTACGCCCCATTTAGGCAGGCTAGCGGGCGGTAGACGGCTGATGGTAGCTAGGCGGCGGGGAGCTCGGGACTTACACGTCCATGTCTGTCGGACTTCAGGCCACGCCCCCCTTTTTGTTTTTTGACACACATTTGACACAACTTATAACAAAGAACTTCTCATGTGTATTTCGTAAAGCTGGTGTGTGCTATTTCTGCACAGAACCCCATATTGTGTTCAGCTACATCTGCTGAGTATAACGATACCCCTATTGTATGCCTTTGGCACTTTTCTGTAAAGCTACAGTGCCATATAAGAGACAAGGCTATTTCAGTTTCTATAGTTAGAATTTTCGGAGATGGATTTGACGTCTCATTTTAGGGTATTCTAGCAGTGTGACTGTTCAAATAACCCCACAAAGGGCTTTCATTTGATAAAGCAGACACCCCAGGGCACCTTATATGGTGTATATTGTTCTTTAACTTGTCACCATTTTTTCACCAATTTATGTCAATGTTTGTGGTGTTGGGGGGGGGGGAAATGGCATTTTTACATATATGTTGCATTTTTGCTGAGTATTTCTCACACTTAATTTGTACCACTGTCATAAAAATCCCCAAATTATACTCGGTTACACCTTCTGAGTAAAACAATATGCCGAATGTATGACCTAGACCCTATTTTGTGAAGTTACAGTGCTGTAAAAGAGATGTGACAAGTTCGGGTTTTTAAGTGTGAATTTTCATGGAGGGTTTTGATGCATCTGTGTCCCACTTTGGAGCACTTGAGCAGGCTACATATTACAACTACACCATAAAGGCATACCATTTCTTAAAGAAGACATCCCAGGGTATTTCAAAAGGCATATTTTGAACTTTAGCGTGGGATCATTTTTCCACTAGCTTGTACCAAGTGTAGTGGTAATAAGCGTTTTTTTCTGCTTTTTTGACACACAAAGTGAGTTTGCTCAGTATATTCTACAAATCGTATGTGTGCAACGACTCTATAATACTTCATATGTTGCTCAGCTATGTTGGCTGAGTACAGCAATACCCCCGTATGTACCTTTGCCAGGTATATGTGGACATCGGAGGGGCACATTTGGGACACAGCCATTCCAGTTTTTTTCAAACTTTAAATTTTACGCTGTGCCCATGTCCTATTTTAGAGTATTTTACCAGGCTATATAATCAAAATACCTCATAAAGCCATACCATTTCTTAAAGAAGACATCCCAGGGTATTTCAAACGGCATATTTTGAACCTTAGCGTGGGATAATTTTTCCGCTAGCTTATACCAAGTGTAGTGGTAATAAGCATTTTTCTACCTTTTTGACACACAAACTGAGTTTGCACGGTATAATTTTCAAACCTTATGCGTGCTACGACTGTATAATACGTCATATGTTTCTCAGCTATGTTGTCTGAGTACAGCAATACCCCCATAAGTACCTTTGCCAGGTATATGTGAACATGGAAGGGGCACATTTGAGACACAGTCATTCCAGTTTTTTTCAAACCTTGAATTTTTACGCTGTGTCCATGTCCCATTTTAGCAGGCTATATAATCCAACTACCCCATAAAGGCATACCATTTCTTAAAGAAGACATCCCATGGTATTCAAAAGGCCTATTTTGAACCTTTGCATGGGATCATTTTTCTGCTAGCTTTTTGCCAAGTGTAGTGGTAATAAGTGTTTTTTCTGCCTCTTTGACACACAAAGTGAGTTTGCACAGTATATTTTGCTAACCTTATGTGTGCTATGACTGTATAATACTTCATATGTTGCTCAGCTATGTGGTCTGAGTACAGCAATACCTTACCTTACCTCAAAAGGCATATTTTGAACCTTAGTGTGGGATCATTTTTTCTCTTGTTTGTTTCAGGTGTAGTGGTAATGAGCGTTTTTAAATGTATTTTTTTACTTTTTTAAACTTTTTTCTTTTTAAAACTAGCTTTTAAACTATGTTTTTGCTTTATAATTTTTTTTGAACTTTCCTAAACTTTCTTAAAACGTTTTTATAAGCATTTTATAAGCTTTGTTTTACCATTAACCCCTAACTAGCAGTTAGCAGCAGTAAATTACCCAATTTCCCATAACTCCCACCCACCCCAGCTAGCAAAATATATCATTTTAAAATATTTAAATTAATGAATTAAATAAATTGAACCCCTGAGGGTAAAAAAAAAAATAGGTTAACCCTAAGGGGTTAAAAAAAATCAAATCACAGTATCATACAGAGAAGGGGTTAATTTTTATTAGGACTGGGTAAAGGAGGGTGGGATTTTTACTTTTTTTAAGTTCATTGAAATTGATCATACTCACTTAGAAAAGAGTATGACTTAAGAACTGATTGTACTGGACGCCTTACTTATCAAAAGAAAGAATGACAGACAAGTATTATTGTTATTGGGATTGTTAGGAATTCAGAGTAAATTCAAAGTGGATTTCACATTTAGGCTATAATTGAGGATTATTCTAGCCTTGGTGAATGAATAATCTAAATGTTATTAAAGACAGGAAGTAATTGTTTGCTTTACCTTCTTTACTGAAATCTCCATCAGCAAAGAAACAGTTAACATAACATGAAAAGAAACAACCAATCAGCACAAAGACAGGCATATATTACTTCCAGCAAGACCCTCCCACTTCCTCTTTTTTTGATGAGGTTGAGCAGGAAAGCAGTAGATTCCCAAGATGAATGGAGTAAAGAATTCACACAACCAGAAGGAAAACCAACAGGGACTGAAGAAGTCTGGGTAAAACTGGAAGAAAAGAAAAATTTGTGAAAGTAAACTGTAATAGCAGAGTGGCATGGCAATCAATAACAACAAATGCAAAAACACCATAAAATACCTCATCCCAACAATGCAATATAGTACATCTAACGAGGTAAACACAAGAGACCAACTAAATCAAAAAAGGCATAGGAAAATATGTATGATATGTATGAGAACACACTACAGTACAATAAAACGAAAGAAAGAAACAAGAGAAAATAACAAACAAAACATTCAGGGTTGGTAAAATAATTGCTTCTTAATAAAATTTAGATTACTCATTCACCATAATCCCCATTTCGTCAGCAAGACAGGAGGCTTCATATTTGCTCTTTTAATGCCTACAAGGATCTCCAACAAAGAAACCCCCAAAAGCTGCTGAAGCTGCGGTGCCACAAACCAAGGATCTCTCCACACTAGCTGCTGCAAGGAGCCATCTGATTCAATGAGCAAATGTATGAATGGAAACCGCCCAAAAAGGACGCACTTAGGAAATTAACAGCTGACCACATGGAGAGTGGAGAAGAGATGAAATCACGGAGATATAATGGCTAAAACAGCGAGCAACAAACAAAGTGACCGATCCAGAATTTACATAGAGTTAGACTTCATAATACAGATTAAAGAACAGTGCAGACATAAAAATACATTAATAAATTGTAAAAGGATACTTAAAATTACCTCTCTCAACAAACAAATATGGGGATTCAGTTCCACCATATGGCCATATTGTGTTAAGCCCACTACTACTTCACAGTACCCAAATATCAGAGGGTCCTACACTAATTCCAACATGGGAGACAAATTAAAGTGTATTTTAATAATCTGTAGTAAGAGCATTTTGAATATATATAGTGCAAAATGAATGTGATAAATGCATTTAAAACATTTATTTTTATGTGTGCGCTGTTCTTTAATCTGTATTATGTATATATTTTGGTCACTATGGCAGTATCATTCCTGCAAAATGCATATTTTGGTTGTGCCCCCAATTCCCTTTTGTCTTTACTATGTAGAGTTAGACTTTGTCCATTGAGATAGAGAGAAGAGAGACTATCCATGTCAATCCAGACTGTCCATAGAATCCATGTCAAATGCTCAAACATCTGAGACATGTCTAAAGGACACAAGGTAAAAGATAACATCCAATTTGGTGAAACTGTGGATGTTGAAGTAACCCGCAATTAATTTTAGGCAGTTACTGTGCAGGTTCCTCTTGTCGAGGGTCCAAAGGCCCCTCTGTTACTGAGCCCTTGCAGGTCGCAACCCAGCCAAGATTGCTGTCGTCTGATTCCAGAACAAAGTCTGAGCATGAACTGAATATCGCCTTGCTGTTCCAGGCCTCCATGTATTGAAGCTACCAGTGGAGTCTAAGTCGGGTTTTGTCTAAGAGATGGATGACCTGATAGTTGGAAACCAAGGCCCTGAAATGATGCACCTTCAAGTGTTGCATGGCATGATAATGTAGAGGGCCCAGAAAAATGGGAGAGGAGACCTTTTAATCTTGAGGACTGCAAAGCATGGATCTGATGTCCATCCTGATCGAGGCCACCTTGGATGCTGGAAGACGCAGTACCAAGTAAACGGAGTACACAGAGAAAAACAGAAATTGGTCTTGATGGAGTCAGATCGTAAATTCTCTCAGGATGACTGGGTCCTGTGCCATCAGCAGGATGTCATCCAGATAGATAATCGATTGAAATCCCCATGGCCCCTTAGGGCCATCATAATCGGTTTCAACAGTTTGGTGAAGCACTTGGGAGCCAAACTAAGGCCAAATGGTAGGCAGGTGAATTGCGATTCATTATCCTGCCATGAAAGCTGGAGAAAGCGTTTGTCATCACCGTGCATCAGTGTGGCGAAACCGGCCTCGCCACGTGTCCTTGGAGGGGGCTGCTTGCCCGCCTCTTGCCTTTGGACTATGGACCAGACTTTATGAGAATGTGTTAACCCAGATAGCTATGCCATGGAGCCCATTTGTGTAGTTAAAGACTTCAGCTCCATAGCAATTGAACTGTGTGAATAGGATCTGAACGCTCTTCAGTAGTTTTGTGCGCTCAGATCCCAGCTATCTGGGGATATGTGAAATGTCTGTGTGTTATGTGAAAAGGTTACTTTATGTATTTTAAAGTGTTTTGTGTCTTTTTGCAACCATGTGCTTAATGGAGTCTTGTGTCTGTCCTGGGAGATAATTGAATTACTCTCCAGGATAGAAGACTCTGAAACTGGTTTGGGCCAGAAAGCCATGCTTCATTTAGTCACAAAGGACTTTCCCTTAACTTTTGAACCCCTGGTCTGATTCGTGCCATTTTTTAATATGTTGTTGCCCTGAATGGATTGATTATGAAAATGTATGTTTTATGTTTGTGACATGTATATTTTAGAAGTTATAAATATTGTGTAAAAACTGTATTCCTCTGCCGGTGATAATGAGATTACCCATTGTGTTCAGTAATCATATCACCTGCAGAGGGGAGGATTTTGTGTGGGAGTGTCTGGGTGTATTGTACGGATTGATTGGTTGTTTTGTAACGCCCTGTGGGCTGTACTATGTTTGGGGATTGGGAATAAAAGAGACTGTATGTGACAGTACAGGGAGTTCCTGTTTTAACCCTCAAAGTGAAGTGTCGTCTCATTATTGGGGGAAGGATTTATTGTATGCTGTTCCAGTTTGACTGCTAGGAGAGTAAACCTATTCGTATGGTTCCTATTCAACTGTCTACAGCATTCATATGCTTGAGAGGATTCATATGCTTCTCCAGTTCGGTGGTTGTGGTGTCTGCTGCAGTGCTTGGAGTCCTCAGGAAGCGCTAGGAGCATCCTTTAACGGAGGTACCCAGTCGGGGTGCCAGGTGATCCGTTACAATCAGCATGGTAAGGTTTGTGTCCTTCAAGTCCAAACACGAGACCCAACTGACCTCACAAAGTAAGTTGCTGAGTAAGTGGATGCATACCTTCTTGAAGGTTTGTCAGTGGATGGAAGTCCCCTGTCTTCTTCTTGACAAGGAAGATGTTACTCAGGAAGCAAGGTGGGCCCTGAGCCCATTCTAGCACTCCTTTCTCCCAAAATATCTGTGCAGACCAGAATGGTCAACTCCCTGTCCATCTGAAGTGTTTGCAGAGGAACCGACTGTAATGGACTCAACAGGAAATCAATCGGAAACCGGCAACTGTCTGCAGTACCAGGGATTCTTGGTGATGGCCTTTAAAGAGTGAGACAGTCTGCCTACAATAGGTTAATTCCTCTTGATTCTGGGCAGAAAACTACAAGCAGCTTTTCTCTTTCTCTCCCTGTGGAAGACAGAAAAATGTGATAAATGAGACCCATGTGTCCCTAATCCGGGCCCAGCTCGAAAATTCCTGCCGAGCGCTTGGTGCTGCATCTTTGCTTCCCCTTTTGGACAGGGCTGCAGCTTTACCCTAACTAAAAACTCCTGCTCCACCCCCCTAAAGACAACTGGAAGAAGGGCCAGGCGTTCATGACCTCCTTCGCAACTAAGCCCAAGACCTGTGAGGCCTTCCCATGGAGTTCGCTCCAGCAGAGATTTCAGATGAACAGGGAAGATAGCAGTGGTCTCTGGGACTTCTGGTTCTCTTTCTTCAGTGGCTGCCATCTTGCTGGCCAGCTTAGAGGCCCAGACAGAGTGAGATTGCTGGAAGACTACAGAAGAGCATGATGTTTCGAATGTGTTTATCATTAGGCGGTTGGTTAGGGGGTGGCAATTCCAGATGACAAGCACCTGGTATCCCTTAACATTCTTCATGGATTATTTAGGGCTTTATGGGTGGTAGCCTTTGAGCTTTGCTTTCCGTGGCTTTTTACTTTATGTTTGGGTGAATTTGTGGCAGGCAGGAGAAGGTCAGATTCTTTTCTCTGCGGTTTGGTTGTCTCACTCAGAGCAGGCACAGTCCATATTTGGATTTGGCAGTCCAAAATGGATCAAGCAGGTCACGGCACGAGGTTGTTCCTTTTTGTGTAGTTGCTTTTTTTCACAATCCTTTGGAAGTTTCCTTCTTACTTTATGGCGACAGTTTACCTTTGCCTAGATATCAATTTACAATGGGTTTGGATGTTAAGGCTTTTGCTCCCCATTCTTTCCAGATTGGTGCAGCAATGGTGCCGCATGTTTTTCAGTTGAGCAGTTGCACAGAGTGGGTAGGTGGGGTTTAAATAGGGCTTTGTTCTATGTATTTCCTTATCTCTTGCAATAGTTATTTCAGGTTTTTTTTGCCAGTTATAGTTTGGTTGTTCAGCCACTCATATATTTATTGAACTAGTTGGTGGGTTGTGGAGTGGAGTGGAGTTATGGGAGGAAATTGAGTTTTCCATCAAACATGGCTTGTCTTCACTGGTGTGGAATTTGTGGTTCAGCTATTCATCGAGGAGTGCACTTTGTGTCGTATAGCCCACTCATTTTAGTTAGGTAACGATCTTAGGAGGTTGTGCACGATTAATTTAATTAGAGCCATGAAGCAAAACTTAGTGAGATGTCTTTGGTTTGATCAGAAGTTATTCCTTGGCCCTAATGGTTGTCCAATGTGTAATTATCAGGTCTTTGAATGTTGGGCTTGGTGTGGTCATTATGTTTTTTAGGCATGCCTTGGCAGTCAAGAAAGCAACATGCACCTTTTAGGTGAGATTGGCCATGACTGCATTGCATGCCGGTCTGGGGCAGTCTTACAAAGCAGTTATGAATTGGAGAAATGATGGATACAATGTTGGGGTGTTAAATGTGTAAATGTTTCCTTCCTACTTCCTCTTGATCCTAAGCAGCACACAACAGGAATCTTTTCCCACCCTCCCACACCTTTTTTTCCTCGAATTGCCAGCTTTTCTTTGGTCCTTTGGGTTTTGACAGCAACTGAACTTTTGGTTATATGAGGCCTGCCTGTTGGCCCTAGTCTTAAAGCTGACAGGTAAAAATGTTGGTTAAATAAAACTGTGGTCAAGCCCTTCCTCCTAATTTGGTTTCAATGTTTTTATTGGGTGGTTTCGGGAAAGCTGGGCTTGGTGGGGTCATTATGTGTTTCAGGCATGTTTCTTTAATGACAAAATAACTGAATTGGAAAAGTTCCCCAGTCAGCTGTGCTTCCAATTTGGAAACTTTGGCCTTAAATTTGGAAATTCAAAACAATTCAGCTCTTTCTTATATGAATTAGTAAACTCATATGGAAATTCACTACAAGGCTGTAAAATAAAGGATAAGTAAATATTAGATAATTTAAAACAATACTCTTCAGTTTTCTTATTCGAAAAGTATATAGGTGCTTAAAAATAGCTAGAGAGATAGCAAACTTAAAACATATGTTTTGCTTCTTTTAGAAAGGCAAATGTTTTTTTCTTAAAAGTTACTAGAATTTTGGGAAGTCATAATGACTTTTATAAGTTAAAGAAAAACCCCACTATGCTCACAGTTTAATTGCTTACACTTTTTCTTGTGAACTCTGATGTATCAAAGATGTTTCTCAAATGTTGTCTTTTGGTATACCAATCTGTATATAAAGTCTTGTAGATAATACATGTATTTAACTAGAACAAATTGATGACATATTGATTTTTATATAATCCCCTAACTTACACAATAAGCTGAATTTTGGTTAAAGTCAATCGGAATCGATTAGTCTATATGCTGAAATAAATGTCAAATATATTCTCATCTTTTTTTGTCTGCCTAATTATTTTTAGGAAGCAGAAAAGTTGGAACCAGAAATTGTATATTTTAATAAATTGGCATGTCAGTCATTTTCCTGATAATAATAAACAATTATTCCTGCTACCCATAGGGCATTAGTTATTTTTTATATTTTTCTAGGGCAATCATTATTACTGTATAACATACATACAACAGATAACTCTATAATGTTTTCTACAAATTCAATGGTCTGCTAACTTTCAACTGAAAAATACAAAAACTAAAAATACTTTTTGTTTTCCCAAAACTTAATAGTAAAGGGTGAATGGCTTGAAAAAGCTAATTTTAACACCTAAAACCGCATCACAGGGTATTTCATTGAAGTCTGAAGTCACTAAAGGCCGTTCGGAATGCTGAATATGGACATTGTTAATTCGATTGAATAATGTCTGAATTTTGCAATTCTGGCCCCAAACAGGCTTGAATTTTGTTTGACTTTAAGTCAGATTGAATGCTGTTGGGTTATGAAATCCTGGCCGAATGTTGCAAATCTAGGCCTAGATACTTAGAATCCTGGCCCAGATATGTAAAGATATACAAACAAAATATATCGGGCAAATAGTAAAAAAAAAACCTTTGTGGTATAATAATTAATTATGTAGTGGCTGACTAGCGCTTGCTAGCCAGCCACTACATTAAGAAGGTAGAAAACAAAACTATGAATAAAATCTTATGGGGTCAATAAGACCCCATATTACTATAATGCAGGTATTTTCCTCCCTATGTCCCCACTTGCCATACAGCAGGTGGGAGCATGTCTACTAAACCTAATAACTGGACAACCATTGCTGGGGATGGGATCCCCATCTACTCATATACAGAAACCAACACTCCCTGTTAGCATCAAAGATGATTGTAGCTGCTGCCCATACTTGCCGTCTTCCATATGCAAGTCAAGAATGGGTTTTACATATATTTATAATTTATTTTGGGTGTTTGTTTCAGACAAGAAATGTCATAAAGAGTCTTACCACCTGGTCAAATTATTAATTTTAGCACATAAATACATACAAATAGGTGGAGTATCTTGGTTCGTTGATGCAAAATAAAATGTAATATAAATGAGAACTGTAACGACAGAAAAAGGTAACAAAATCTAGTGTAGTATCATAGAGTACATAAGTGGTTTCATGTATAATATATGATTCAGTACTCACAAAAGGAGAGCCAAAGGAAATGGCTCAATTCAAACGCCTGTGGAATAATTATAAGGGTTCCCACTCCCTTTCTGTGCAGCAGCTGTATCTGAGTCCCTTGATGTTATTCTGAAGAAGAGACCATCACCATTCAGGTCAAAGGTAAATCTTCTTTTAATAAAAAAAAAAAGGTATACATAAAATACAAATGAACTTAAAATACAAAAAAATAAAATGAAAACTCTTAAAAAAAATCACACAATGTGATAAAGATATTAAAATAGTCCACTCTGGGATAGCAAGACGCGTTTTGCCTAATAATTAGGCTTCCTCAGTTGCTCCTAATGTTTACTTTCAACCGCTCGTTCTTTTATACACCTCTCTGATGAGGGAATGCCGGGCATCTGTTGTGTATTCTTTTCTTCCAGGTTCCGTATTTCGTCATTTCCGGTTTCTATTTTCAACGTATTTCCAGTTTTCGGATTGCTCCGATGTTGGAACGCATATGCGTTCCACTTCTTGAAAAAACTTTTCGCATATGTTTAAAGTCCGAATTCACACCTAGCTTTCTCTTCATTTCATTTATATTCACTTGTGGAACATATGTGTATCCCACCTCTAAAAGAGGTGGATGCTTATCTTATATGAATATTCTAAGTGTACACAATAATATAAAATATAGAACTTATAAAAAAAGCTAAAAACCATTAAAAATAATGATCAATATATTAAAACTTGGAGACATCCATATATTTAAATATAAATATCAAACATAAGTGAAAAATGATAATATAATCAGTCCTAAGTGTAGAAGACCAAATCCCATACAGAAAAAACATAGATTCCATATATTGAGGTGCACATAGCAATAATATTTAATACCTATACTTAGGTGTAAGTACCAATAATAGCAGATAGCCCATTGTGTAACAGATAAGAAGAGTTATTTTTTGAGGAAATGGCAAATCTCAAAATCAGAATTTAACCCATTAGGTATCAAGGTGTTAAAATTAAAAATAAATTTCATTTCCTCCTTACCTAGTTTGTTCATATAATCTCCTCCTCTCCAATTTTTAGTTACTAATTTTATTGCACAAAATAGAAGGCCTGTAGGGTCTTGGTTATGGGTCATTTTAAAGTGCTGTGAAACAGAATGCATTTCTAGACCTTTTCTGATATTCCGCACATGTTCTGCGATTCTTATATGGAGGGGTCGTATTGTTCTCCCTATATAGAGTAGATTGCAGGGACATCTTAGGACATAAATAATTCCTTTAGAATGACATGTAAGATGGTCTTTTATCTTATATTGTTGGCCTAATAGTTCGCTTATGTCCAGGTGTCTTTTTTTACTTTTCCTTGCCCTGCATGGTAAACATTCCCCACAACCATAAAAACCTACAAGGTTGTTCAAAAAATGGTCTGGTTTGGTGTCATCGAGACTACTCCTAACCAAAATATTTCGTAAATTCTTAGTTCCTCTATATATAATTTTAGGTTTTGGAGGTAGAATAACTTTCAAAATAGGGTCATCTCTCAAAATATGCCAGTGTTTTTGTATGGCATTTTGGATTTTTTTAGTGTTTCTGTTATATTTACATATAAAAGGGATGTCCTCATTTCTTTGAGAGGTATTCTTAGATTTATATTTTAAAAGTTGTTTTCTTTCTAAAAGTTTTATATCTTCTAAATCTTTTTTTAGTTTAATTTCCTCGATTCATTAAATACTTTGATTGCTCTGTATATACTTGTGTGTCTGTGCAGTTTCTCCTTAGTCTCTTAAATTGTCCTCTCGGTGCATTAACGAGCCAAGGAGTATGATCATATATCTATCAATATAACTATTAGTGTCCACCGGTTTAAAATAGTTTTTTGTACAGATACTCGAATTTTCAATATATATGTTTAAATCCAAAAAATTAATTTCTGTGTGGCTAGTATTGCAAGTGAGTTTGATGCCCCAATCGTTGTTGTTAAGAAACTGTAGAAAATTGGTGAGTTCTTGGTTGTCTCCCGTCCAGATGAAAAATATATCGTCGATATATCTGCGGTAGGACACCAAATTTGCCACCCAGTCATGTCCACTGGAAACAAAATGTTCTTCCCAATATGCCATAAAAAGATTGGCATAACTGGGGGCAAACTTGGTGCCCATTGCTGTACCACAGATCTGCAGAAAAAAACTGGTCCTGAAACCAAAAAAAATTGTTGGTTAAAATTAGAAGAATTCCTTCCAAAATAAAATCTATTTGTTCTTTCTTAAAAAGTGATTTTTCTAAAAAATATTTCGCTGCCTCTAGTCCCTTATTATGGGAATGATGCTGTATAGTGAACTGACGTCACATGTAACCAGAATGTATCCTTCCTGCCATCTAGTTTGTTCTAATATTTGAAGAATATGGATCGTATCTTTCAGATAGTATGGATTCTGTACAACCAATGGTTGTAACATGATGTCTATATATTCTGATATCCGAATAGATATAGAATCTATGCCTGATATTATCGGCCTGCCTGGTGGATTCTGTTGGTCTTTGTGAACTTTAGGTAGATGGTAGAACACTGGTATCCGTGGGTGGTCTATGGATAGATATTTGGCTTCCTTCACATTTATAATCCCTAAATCTTTTCCTTTCAGAATATATTCCTCAATTTTTTTTCCTTGTCTCTACCATAGGGTTGGATGGTAGTCATTGGTAAGTCTTGGGGTCTAAAAGAATTCTCTCTGCTTCTTTTATGTATTGGTCTTTCTCAAAAATAACAATCCCACCCCCTTTATCTGCTGGTTTAATTATAGTATTATTATCCTTTTCCATTCCTTTTAATGTTTTCTGTTCTCTACGAGATAGATTCTGTTGGTACATGGTAGTTTTTGTAATTGTGTCTACTTCCTTCATAACTATGATTTCAAAGGCCTTCATCTGGTCTGAAATCATATGTTTCGGGAAGAAAGTTGATTTTTCCCTTAGATCGATATGTACATAATTTTTATTCTGTAGGGTTATGGCAGATTGTTCTTTCCTAAAGAAGAACTTTTTGAGCGACAGTCTTCGAATAAAGTGATTCACATCAATAAAAAAGTCAAATTTATTGAAATCCGTTGTGGGCGCAAATTTCAGACCTTTTGAAAGAATTTCTGTCTGTTCTGCAGAGAGGGTTTGTTCTGTGAGATTGAAAATTCCTTCTACGTTCTTCTCCTGTTTCTTTTCTTCCTGTATCGCTGTTCCTCTCTTTCTTCTATGGATCTCCGTCTCTTTCCTGGAGATTCTTGGGGCAACGTTTTCTGTGACCACTGCAATCTGTTGATGGTTGGGTCCTTCCGAAAAAACAGGGAAGATGCTGTATCTGTTTGTTGAGGGGCAGGTCTATTTCTGATCTGATGATCCCTAACTGCAGAAGTTGGTTCTGAGAACCTCCTTCTTCTTTTTTCTTCAATTGTATTAGTTGTGTGTTCCTTCCTCACTCCCTCTTTCACTACTGTACTATAGGTCCTTTTCTCATTCTTATGTACATGAGTACTGTGGGTGTTCTTTAACTTATCTGAATTCTGTTCAGGATAAATATTCCTATTTCTCCTAATTGGGATCTCTCTGAAATTTCTTTTTCTATTCTCTCCTCGAGATATATATGAGTGAGAATAAGGGCCATATCTTGTATTTGCTCTATTATTTCTATATGGGCTTTTTTCTCTTATTCTTCGTCCCAAATTCAGTTTTCTGCCATGTTATGGACTTTTCTCTCTTATTCTTCCTCCCAAATTGGGTTTTCTAACATTCCCAGTTCTATAATCATTTAAATCTCTAAGATATTTCTTTTTTTTAATCTCTATGATGGTGTCTTGTATTTTGTCTACTTTACTTTTAATTTCTTTAATTACATTGTTATAGATCTCTGGACTTGTGTTTTCTATCAGATTTTCTTTCCATTTGTTGATATCTTCATCTAATTTGGGTAGGCTTTCTTCCCTTCTGGCTACAATATAGCCCATAAGACTGAAAGAAAAGCCATCTAGCATTTGGTTCCAGCCTGTCATAAAATGTGGGTCATCTCTATCAGAGGTAGGGTCTTTTGTAAAATGGAGACCTCTAGGGGTGATCCTTTCATTGACATATTTCCCTCAATATATGGAATCTATGTTTTTTCTGTATGGGATTTGGTCTTCTACACTTAGGACTGATTATATTATCATTTTTCACTTATGTTTGATGTTTATATTTAAATATATGGAGTTTTAATATATTGATCATTATTTGTAATGGTTTTTAGCTTTTTTTATAAGTTCTATATTTTATATTATTGTGTACACTTAGAATATTCATATAAGATATGCATCCACCTCTTTTAGAGGTGGGATACACATATGTTCCACAAGTGAATATAAATGAAATGAAGAGAAAGCTAGGTGTGAATTCGGACTTTAAACATATGCGAAAAGTTTTTTCAAGAAGTGGAACGCATATGCGTTCCAACATCGGAGCAATCCGAAAACCGGAAATACGTTGAAAAGAGAAACCGGAAATGACGACGAAATACGGAACCCGGAAGAAGAGAATACACAACAGATGCCCGGCATTTCCTCATCAGAGAGGTGTATAAAAGAAAGAGCGGTTGAAAGTAAACATCAGGAGCAACTGTGGAAGTCTAATTATTAGGCGAAACGTGTCTTGCTATCCCAGAGTGGACTATTTTAATATCTTTATCACATTGTGTGATTTTTTTAAGAGTTTTCATTTTATTTTTTTGTATTTTAAGTTCATTTGTATTTTATGTATACCTTTTTTTTTTTATTAAAAGAAGAATTACCTTTGACCTGAATGGTGATGGTCTCTTCTTCAGAATAACATCAAGGGACTCAGATACAGCTGCTGCACAGAAAGGGAGTGGGAACCCTTATAATTATTCCACAGGCGTTTGAATTGAGCCATTTTCCTTTGGCTCTCCTTTTGTGAGTACTGAATCATATATTATACATGAAACCACTTATGTACTCTATGATACTACACTAGATTTTGTTACCTTTTTCTGTCGTTACAGTTCTCATTTATATTACATTTTATTTTGCATCAACGAACCAAGATACTCAACCTATTTGTATGTATTTATGTGCTTTGATTTAATGTGGATAGAGAGGTTGCCACATAGGTGTTTTTAAGTTACCTGGTTGTTGTTGGGGTCACTTGCTGAAACTCTGTATCTACATTACAAATTATAAATTTTGCATGGAAAAGTAATAATTTTATTCTGAGAGTGGTAAAACCTTAGCACAGTCAAAACGCTACAATCTGTGTTGTTTGCATAATATTAAAAACGAATATATATATATATATATATATATATATATATATATAAACAAATGTAATTTAAATACACTGTATATGTACTATCAGTGTTATCGTTATCCACGTTCTGACACCTTAGTTTAATGCTCTCATATAATGTAAATATTTATGTGAAATACTTCCTCGCTCTGATAAAATCCATTAGTTGAACTACTGCAAAATTCATAAGCCTACCAGCATTCTGGTCTCCTAATCAAATGCTCTTACTTCACTGTAGCATGATCAAATAAAATGGAGAAATGCAAAAAAAACACCTATAAATAAATGGAGAGGAAAATGACTTCAGACAGTGAAATATTTTCAAAGAATCACAGAATGATTGCCAGAACAATGAAACATGTGTAGCAATGAAATACGCCTCAAGTAACGAAATCTTTTTCTGTTTAACTCATATTTAAAGTCTTATAACACGCATAGGACACTAGCCTGCAAATAACAATTGTCTGCTCATTATAACAATGCCGATGATGTGTTTATGGACCACAAATCCCAATTCATTCAATTATACATTATTTAGGCCAATACCTATAGATATAGAATGGGCTGCAGATTTTGCACTTAAAGGGGCACTCAAGGCACCTACACATTAGGTGAAAAGTGTAGGCACAGTTGGGAGATATGTACACACTGCAAACACTGTTTTACACACATTGCTACTCATACTGCTCCCCACACTGTATGCACAAACACCAACACTTAGTGCACGACTTAGCTAGTGTAGGACATTCCTCCTTAAAATTGCAATAATACAATGTTCCACATAATTAGTTTATTTTGGTTACCCATATTTACAAAACTGCACTTTCCGTAGTGTCCAACAAAGAGTGGGATCACAGGGAACATCCTAACCTCTTGGTGTGTACAGAGTTAAATTCATGCTCACACCAAGATACCCGGGGGCTCAACTCTGTCAGTTGCGGCCAGTGACGTCAGATTTACAGATGTGACGTATACCGTTTAAATGCCTATTGCTCTACTCTGTCACTTGGGACTAAAGAATGAATGACAAATGAGCTTTATGCAGCTCTCATAGAGAGCACTGTTTACTGCCGTCTCCATTTATTGAGATCAGCAATTCTGAGCTAGCAGGTGTTCAAGGGAGACACCCTAACAGGTTAACCCAGGATGCCCATGCCGACTATGAATGGTGCAGGGCTTAGCTAGCTGATCAGCATGATTCACAGTCCAAAACTGGCATACCTGAAATGGCAGTCACAGGCCATTCTCTGCTGTTTTAACTATGAAACCAATCTGTCCATATCAGGACAAGTGTAATTATAGCCAGTATCTTCTTTCTGGTCTAGATGAATACTGGAAGAAAAAAAGGAGCCTTACGGGTGTCCTCCAATTCAAATTCAGATAGGCGAAAAGTTAAAATTAAGGATGATAAAGTGCAATATACAGCCTATGATAAATTGGGGTGCAAACTATTTAAATATTTAAACTATTTAAATATTCACACAGGTGGATCACCAATGTGGTAATAAGCAAATAAAACCTATAGATACACATACACAAATAAAATGTATTGTTCTTTCATAAATCTGCAAGAGATAAAAGTACAGAGAACAATATTGTAATACACTAAAATAAAATAAATGAGTTTTAAAAAAATGCAAATCTCAAACATTGAGTGGTTATAGTACTAACCCAAACTATACCCATTGTACAGGCTACGGAATTTGTTGGCACTATATAAATAATAAAATAATAATAAGGCTCCGGGGGATCACTGTGCGTAGGATCCAAATCACTCACCACCAGTTGATAACCATGTTTCCAAAACGTTATTCAAACTTAAAATCCACTCTGTTGTACACAAGGGAAAGCAGTTTGGTATATGCAGCTCAGTTCTCTGTCCTATCAGGAGTCCTCTCAGATCCACTGATATTAAGCAGTTCTCTCCCTCTCTCCCCACAGTTCCTCACAGTCTGTTACCGGGTTCGGCATGCAAAATACAGCCTGGCTGGCCCCACGCCTTCAGGACCATGCAGGGAGCTCTGCTGAAGTACTCCCTGCATGGTACAATGTAAGCATGTCTAATTATGTTCTCACTTTGTGCTGCCAGGAACATTCCAAGGTGTCCCCAGATGTGGGACAGCACCCCAAATTTGGCACTGTACCTCCAAAGCGGGACAGTTTGGAGGTCCGCAGCAGTTCACCAGGAAATAGTTCAGTGGCCAATTTAGGCTTGGATATCATTGAGAGTGCAGGCCACCGGCTCATGCACATAACCACACAGTGCAGGGCTAGCAAAGGCCCTGTACAGTTCCTGCCTGCTGCCTGTACAGGCCCTGTACACTCCTGCAGAATTGTGTAAACAGACATCCCAATAAACCTTTTGCCATTTGAATTTTCAGAAGAGGGTTTGAGTTTGCAGCCCATAATCCCTTTCTCTGCCATTTCATGCTAGGGAGCTGGGTCTATTGCCCCCTTCCCTCCTCCCCCGCTCCTCAGCATTTCATGGTTTGTATAGACCAAATAACACAGACAGCAGGTAGATGAAGTGGAGTCACTGGTGAATTGACAATTAATATCGTACTTCCTACAATATATTTGGGTCACAGAATATAGAACTCTCTGCTCTGTCACTTATTCTCCTCCTCGTTCTCAATCCTTTCATTGGTTCCCCTAGCCCCCAAAGCATGTGAGTGACACCTGTCCACAGAAGCAATCAATCAGTCAATCAATCAATCAATCAGATATCAAACTCTCCACCATGGTCAAGACCAAAGAGCGGTCCAAGGATGTCAGGGACATGATTGTAGACCTACACAAGGCTTTATCAAGATGAAGTTATGTAAGTTAGTGATAACGCACAGGTTACACAGTATCCCATAAATTCTCACCAGATCATGTCCTTTCTGTAGTTTTAGATCCTTTGTTCTAGTGTATTAGTCACCAGAACAAATACAGCTAAATGTAGTTGTTCTGGTGTGTATAGTCTTTCCCTGAAGCATTTTACTGTAAACACAGC